TATACGCCCGGCCCGGTGTAAATATGTATATGATTTGCCTACGCCCGAAATAATTGACATACACGTACAAAATATTATGTTATTAACGCGGTGTGTTAAAGAATATGATTTGTGTAATTACTGGTGATGTGGCAGTTTGAAAGGTGTTTAGTCAGATTTCGTGATTATAAGGATCCCTTACTCTGTTCCAATAAATAGAGTAAGACATTGTTGTCTCCGCTGTCTGTCTGATCTAACTGCTCGCAGGCCTTGCAAGTTGTCAAATATTACCTTTTACAAAATTGTAAAATAGATATAATTGAATAGATAAACAATAAAATACAGTAATAAAATAAAAGTGATGTTCAAGTATGAATATTTGAATTTTTCGACGTTGTTTTTTAAAATACTTACGAAACAATTTGTTTTTTAAAATACTTAACGAAACAATCTGACTCGCATTTTTAAGATTTTTTTCTTCAGGCTGAGACAGCTATTTTTCATGTTGGAATGGCTTATTTTATTTTTTACTAACGTACTTTTATACACAAATGTTCAAATTTAAAGAGATGGCGGCGGTGCCTTGTAGCCTAAGAAATACTAGAAAAAAAAATCGACACGGCCATTAGCGCCACGGTAGCATTATGAGCAATGCATCTGCCCGAATAGCGAAGGGTGCGATTTTGAGACCCATCGGCTGCCTGGTCAGCGTGGGTTTTTTTCTTGTAAAATTCTTGTTATAGAAAGCGGATTAATCATGCAAAATATTTATAAATAGTTTTAATTTGCCAAATATTTATATGTGTATGCTATCAAAAGATAGCGACTACCTTAAAGCTCTTTAAGCACTTACTGTTTAACAAATATTTCATATTACCTAATTAGCGTAATCATTTTATAATGATGTTATAATACAAAAAAAGTACCTATTCGTTACGAAATGAATTTTTGACGACCTCCGTGGCCGAGTGGTTTGTACCTTTCATGGTGTCACCGACTCGAGAGGTCTCGGGTTCGAATCCCGGTGGGGGCAGAAGTTTGTGTGATGAATACGTGCATTTGTACTCCAGTAATGGATATTTAATATGTTTTTCTATATTATTAATTATACTTATATATGTACAGTATATGTATTCTATCCGTTACCCTAGTATCCCATAACACAAGCCTTATAGTGCTTACTTTGGAACTAGGCTAATTGGTGTGTGTGTTGGAAATATTTATTTATTTTTATTTATTTATTTAATAATACAGATTTAAGTGGCTCGCAGATTCTTAAATATCGTGTTAATACAAAAAAGTTTACACATAAACTTGATGCTGGTTCGAGAGGTGATCGTTCGATAACATAATTGCTCATTACGAGGCAAGTGTTTAGGAGACAAAAGCCTATTGACTGCGCAGGAGCATCCTCTGGTATCTTGCTTATTCTGTACAATATAGGGTAGGCAATTTAGTGCCACTTAGAAAGGTTGAGTAACGTGCACGCTTAATATTCCAGTACCTATTAAGTTTAATTAAGTATATTGTACCTGTAATGCGAAGAGATGGCGCTGCCTTGCAGCTTAAGAATGGCTAGAAGAATTTCGACGCGGTCCGTGAGGGCCGCGGTAGCATAATTGGTCAGTGCATTCGCCCGGATTGCGAAGGGTGCGGGTTCGAGTCCCGTCCGCTGCCTGGTCCGCGTGGATTTTTTCCTAGTAAACTTTTCTTTAGATTTAAACATCTAGCAGTTAATTGCTTAAAAAATAAATAAAATCATAACTATAACTGCTATTTCTTCTTTCAAATGTTTAATACTTGAAAAAGTATTCATTTGACATTGTGGGTTACCTACAATGCGAAGAGATGACGCTGCCTTGCAGCTTAAGGCTAGGAAAATTTCGACGCGGCTAATAGGGCCGTGGTAGCATAATGGTCAGTGCATTCACCCGGATAGCGAAGGATGCGAGTTCGAGTCCCGTCCGCTGCCTGGTCCGCGTGGATTTTTTTTCTAGTAAACTTTTCTTTAGATTTAAGTATATTTAATTCAATATGTATAAAAATATTTATAAATAAGGGAGAATATCTGACCCAATTTAAATATATTATTAACTCTGGTACTGTAGTATTGCCGACGAGTGTTGGCTGGTCTGAAGTAAGCAATTTGGCTAGTCAGAAGACTACTTTATACCTAATAAGTACCTATATTGTGTGGCCAAACAGCTAACTTAAGATCAGCCAACAATACTAAGTAATATTTGTATAATGTTAAATGTCAATATGTCATCGCCTTCATAATACCTCAATGATGTAATATGTTAAATGCCACGCATATTAACATTAATTAATTCTAAGTTTTTTCTGCTGCCTGGTCCGCGTGGAAATTCTTCTATTACATTTAAACGTCTAGCAGTTAAATGATTTAAAAAAAATATAATTAATCTTTATTAAGTAAAATTTAGTTGTCGAAATCAAAATGGGAATCGAGCGATTCAAAAATAAAAACATAATAACTCAATCCACACTCATTTGAAACAATTGTACCTATGATTGCAATTTAGATTGTACACGTCTTTAAATGTACAAATAAATTTAATGGATTAAACTTATTTGTACGTTAAGAGACGTGTACAATCGACGATAAATTTAACCTTTTAGCTACAAAAACTCCGCAAGAGATCATCGGCATTGTCCCCGTGTAACTGTGTGGCGACCAGAGCCATTCATCCGCTTTCGAGTGTTATCCTCTTTACGGATTACAACCATTGTTGCCACGTGGCAGACAACATGAGTAACACCAGGGTATACACTGCACCACAAAAATCAATCTTATTGCTGGCACTATAAAGAGTATTTAAGATTTTTATTTTCATTAAAATACGCTTACGTCATAAAATAGTTTTACAAATTTATTCAAATACAGAGAAATACGTGCATTGAAATAAGGTTAAATACCAACTATTTTTAATACGGCCTTGTTAAGGTAAAAATTTGCTATTTTGTTTTTCTTATTGACTCTGCATTCGACAAAGGTAAGGTTTTTTGAAATAACATATCTTATGTTTTTATTTATTTTTAAGCATTTAACTGCTAGGTGTTTAAATCTAAAGAAAAGTTTTACTAGAAAAAAAATCCACGCGGACCAGGCAGCGGACGGGACCCGAACCCGCACCCATCGCAATCCGGGCGAATGCACTGACCAATTATGCTACCACGGCCCTGATGGGTGCGTCGAAATTTTCCTAGCCTTAAGCTGCAAGGCAGCACCATCTAGATTTTTTTTAGAATAGAAATCCTATTTTTTTTCTAGTAAAACTTTTCTTTAGATTTAAAAATCTAGCAGTTAAAAACTTAGAAATAAATAAAAACATAACTATAATTGCTATTTCTTCTTTCAAATGTTTAATACTATTAAATATCAATATATAATAGTATTCATTTGACATTGTGGGTTGCCTACAATGCGAAGCCTTGTAGCTTAAGGCTAGGAAAATTTCGACGCGGCCATCAGGGCCGTGGCAGCATAATTGGTCAGTGCATTCGCCCGGATTGCGAAGGGTGCGGGTTCGGGTCCCGTCCGCTGCCTGGTCCGAGTAGATTTTTTTTCCTAGTAAAACTTTTATTAGATAACATATCTTGTTTAGTGACAGGATTTTGCTACTTATTCCAGCTGGCTTTAGTCAGCATTCTACTAATATACTCAGCATTTTTTATTGACAAAGCAAAAATACTCTTGGTAGATTACAGTTAAGCTCATTGGAGCATGTCCATGCAAGCATAACTCGAATAATGATGTAATTTTCAGCTGACATATCACTAGCTACAAATGCATTTTAGGTACTACATACGTTAGTACCTATCGTAGGCACCTGTTATTTATAATGCACGCTTGACAGACAGATAGTCGTTACATGAACGTAACGTGTCGACACAATCGGCGTGACAGCCGGAACACGGGGCTCGCTCGGCAATTACCCTCCCCTATTCTATCCCACCTTCGCGGATACAATGAACCGGTTTAATGTTGTTGTCAATGTTTATTTACTCAACACCGTGTAATTGAGGAAGTCTTTAAACCATTTCTTTGTCAGCACTTTATTTTCTTAAAAATTCAAAATTGGAACGCGCCGGTCTCGTCGCGCCGTTAAAATACTGAGAGCGGCTGGCTGAATCTTGGCTGAATGGCCGTCGTCTTCGCCTTTGTCTATCGCGAAATTTGATTTGTGTCCCTGTTTTTGTTCCGTTCTCTGTCTGAATAGCTATCGAATAATACGAGCTCGGGTTCCGTCCGTCGATGACGCGATGATTCGCGGACCTCTTTCTAACACTCAGCTTTGTCGATTAAAATGGATTGACGTGCATTGTTGAGTTTGAAAATAAATTGTTAATTGAATACCGCTCCATTCTCATTATGGACAGCTGACTATTGTTTACGTTGCTCAAAAAAGCGATCGTATTTTGTTGCCGCAATTATTGTTATGCGCCAGTATGTTAAACACACAAAAAATAATACCGCAAATAATATGTTAGTAGTATAATATTAGAACAGTCTATTTACATTTTGTAAGTTTTTGAACTGGATGTTGCAAATCAATTTGATATTTTTTACAGCAAACTGTCAACCAAATAAAAAGCCTTGCGGTTTTCATCAAATGAAAACAAAATGTTAAAATTTAGAATTAAGAAAAAAAATCGACTAAATTTATATCTTTACCTATGAAGCTGCCGTTTTTCGAGAATTAAGTTAACGCCCTTTTTCTGTTTTTTTGATGTGATGTGATTTCGATGAGTGAGTCTATTATTTTAAGTATGATTTTAGATGTTGTTTTTTGTCTCCTTTAATTTTAGGTTTAAAGAATAATACTAGAATAAGGTCCACTGAGAAGTTAAAAGCTTAATAAGCAAATTTGGTTTTGTTCCCACAGTAAATTGTCGGTGCGCTAGTAGCGCTGCGCTGAAGCGTCAGTTTTAAAATTGAAATTCCTCAGGGTGTATGATAGATGGCGCTGTTTGTTAATTGTACTGTTTGTTGATTGCAGGGTTCCCGCAAATCAAGTCGCCGTACAGCCCCTCAGCGCAACCACATCTCACAGGTGAGTCTCTTTACTTTAAATAAAGCTGAAGATAGTCAAGACGTGGGCGAGCCGAAGGATCTTTTAAAAATACAATTTATTTTTAATGGAGACGTTTATTCGTTACAACTGCCAGCTTAAGACTAACTATGAACTAACTTACAAAAGCTAAGACAGCATGTTGTTGACAGCCCGAGTTGAGCTTATCAGTTTCCGCCTGTCGATTCAGCGTCTGGCTTCTAGAAAATGTTATGCTGACTTCGGGTTATGGTGGGATCAACATCGCCAGGCATGTTATGATGACTTGACGTTCCGGTTGAGTCAACAGACGTAACTAGATAAACATTTATTTATCATACCACACAAATTCATACAACAGACTTATACAAATTACAAACACAAATTAAATGGCAAAATTATACAGAGGTAAGATGTGGTGGGCAATCGGAACTCTTTATCAGCATAAGCCCTGCACATCAGAACATGAACTAAAGACCCCTCAGGTTCTAGTACCCTAGAGGCTCCAGACGGAAAGGAGACTCCCTCCGTGGGGAGATGCCATCCGCCTGGAATACCTCTAGAGGCACTCGCCAATTCTCGGCTTGAGGTCCTCTTAGGATCTCGCCGTCCCCAAACCCGGTGACGCTGTAAAGTTCATCTACGACCAACAGCATACACACTCAAAAAATACATATTTAACATCCATGACTGGAGTACAAAAGCTCGTATTCATCACACAAACATCTGCCCCCACCGGGGTCGAACCCGGGACCTCTCGAGTTGGCGACACCATGAAACACGGCGTACAAACCACTCGGCCACGGAGGTCGTCAATATGAACAAGACACGGCGTTACTAGTCTATGCTTATTTCTTGTTTATTAATATGGGGGATAAAGTCGACTCATAGAGCTATCTTGTTTTTACTTAAAGATCATAATGATGAAAAATACATATATGTTGCTATGAACCATACTATGAACAGCGTGCGTACCACTATACAAACGTCAAACTGATACCTTGGTGAGCTTTACGATACCGAATCAAAAAGGGATCTAATGTCAAATGCAACCTACCAACACGTCGCTAATACTTTTGGAGTTTACTCCTAAGAATCGATTTGCATATAAAAGGGGCCCGGCATGAGAAAAATGTGAGGAGTAAAATCTATCGATGAATGACATTAATGACCTCGTTACGTTTTTGTGCGCAACCTCATCTGCGCATTTCACTTTTAGCCATGGCAACGGATAAAAAACATTAAGTTGTCACAAATGTCAATAAAATAAATAAACTAAAAATAGATAAAATCGGAGCAAAATTAATGAAAAGAAATAAATAACAGAATATAGAGAAATGCCGGTAAGTGTCTAGCACTCTGGAATAGTGATTTTCAGTACAGATGGAATTATAATACATATTTACAAAATAATGACTGTGTGTGATATTTTTGAAATTGTGTGTTTCCAGAAATACATAATAAAATATATGATGAATATCGCTGATGTTAGATGATAAAATGTGTGACATGGAACCTATGATAGTCGAAACCATGGGACGATTCCTGAGATATCTCTACTTGTAACCGACTTCTTCGGACTTGATTTTGTTTTGTGTCTGTTCAAAGACAATCGTTTTTAGAGTGTATACTCCGGTCGTGCGTCGGAGCTGACACACGCAATTTTTTTTAGTTTCATTCCAAGTCCATTTGAGAAATTAACGCAAACAGTATTCACTATCTTGATTTCATACATCAAACTATTTTGTAATGGAATTTTCTGTGGTATAACGGAGTGTCCTTTTTCATATAATCTAGAGGCCTCACGACGTCTTTTCGCCGCCTAAGGTAGTGGCACGAATGACCGATAAGAAGCAATGATCATTATTCCCTCTTGTGATCAATAAAAATTGTGAACAATCGAATAAGGTAAATACCTTAGTATGGCTATTTTCGCGTTATTACGAACGCTGCGAATTCGCGTCTAAAATTGGAGCACCTTCGAAAGTATTATTTCTCATTGAGGACTACAAAAATTTAATGGGATAGGCTAGTTGACACTTTTTAGAAATATGTTTTAAATGGTTAATAATTGTTCAATTAGACCGAAAAAAATTGTATTGTTTTAGTCTAAAGAAAAAATAACTAGAAAAAAATCCACGCGGACCAGGCAGCGGACGGCACTCGAACCCGCACCGTTCGCAATCCGGGCAAATGCACTGACCAATTATGCTACCGCGGCTCTCACGGACCGCGTCGAAATTCTTCTAGCCATTCTTAAGCTGCAAGGCAGCGCCATCTCTTCGCATTATAGGTAATCCACAATGTCAAATGAATACTTTTACAAGTATTAAACATTTGAAAGAAGAAATAGCAATTATAGTTATAATTTTTATTATTTTAAAGCATGTAACTGCTTGGTTTTTAAATATAACTAGAAAAAATTCCACGCGGACCAGGCAGCAGACGGGACTCGAATCCGCACCCTTCACAATCCGGGCGAATGCACTGACCAATTATGCTACCGCGGCCCTCACGGACCGCGTCAAAATTCTTCTAGCCATTCTTAAGCTGCAAGGCAGCGCCATCTCTTCGCATTATAGGTAACCCACAATGTCCCGTCTGCTGCCTGGTCCGCGTGTAATTTTTTCTAGTTATATTTTCTTTAGATTTAAACATGAAGCAGTTACATGCTTTAAAATAATAAAAATGTATTGTATTTTTTTTTACCTAGAAAGCTACAAAACTTTGATTTTAAAATAGATTTTTCATGGACATACAAAAACGCTGTCGGCCGTTTTAGTCTATAGATTATCTATTCTATGGTATGACGGGAACAAAATAGTAAACAAACACTCGCAAGCACGAAGGATATAACCTATCTGAATTTACATTACAAAACCATGATTTCTAATAGATTTCATGATAAATATAGTAATTAACATGATTGTATTATACGAGAATAAAGAAACACATCGTTAAAGACTCCAGAAATGTTGTGGTTCAAATTTTTAAGGTTATGAATGTACCTGCTAAGTCAAAGAGTCTTGTCGATTCTGATTTCACAAATCCGGCGTCCAGCATTAATTTAGTCAAGAAAACCAATAAACGGAAACTTTTCTTCAAGATATAAGAGTTTTTAAATATATTTTAGTCGGAAGAAAGAACAAGAAGACAGTAACACGACAATGACGTTTAGTTGTTTGCTAATATGTTGACATCACAATCATGGTGGACCGCGTTTTTAGTGTTTAAAAAGCATAAAGTAAAAAACTATTTTACAAATTAAATTACTACAGCCATCTTCTAATTTTATGAAGTGAAATCGATGTATTTAGGTTCATCATACCAAAAAATATAAGAAATAAACATTTGTATACTGCAATTTGACATGAGTCAACTAGCCTATTGTAGAGCTCTGTTGTGTTTTTTGTAAAATACTGCCTTAAAACAGTTGCACTTGTAATTCACTTTGGTAAAAATAATAATATTTTCTATTTGAATACCATCCCGATTCGCAAATTTTCTATTGGTTAAATTAAATATTTTCTTTTTTAATACACACCTTGTACTCTTAATTATGAAGATAACCAAAAAAACAATATATTTCTTAAGAAAAGTTTACTAGAAAAAAATCCACGCGGACCAGGCAGCGGACGGGACTCGAACCCGCACCCTTCGCAATCCGGGCGAATGCACTGACCATTATACTACCACGGCCCTATTGGCCGCGTCGAAATTTGCCTAGCCTTAAGCTGGAAGGCAGCGCCATCTCTTCGCATTGTAGGTAACCCACAATGTCAAACGAATACTTTTTCAAGTATTAAACATTTGAAAGAAAAAGTAACATCTAGCAGTTAAATGCTTAAAAATAAATAAAAACATAACAATATCTTTTTTGATATATTTTAATTTTTTAAGCAGAACTGCTAGGTGTATAAAGTTAAAGAAAATTTCACTAGAAATTGTTTTTTTTGCTGTCGTCTGCTGTGCCGCGTAGATTTTTTTTCTAGTATTTTAAAAAAATATATTCTTTCTACATTGTCTTTATTTGGTATTTCAGATTGTAGTAGGTACCTTTTATATCAAAATGTTAAATCCCAAACATTTCTATAAAAAACAAAAGCTAAAACAATATCATATCTTTATATAACGAGACAAAGCAAACATTCTTGATGATGTTCGTATTGATTCTTTAAGTTCGTCAATAATTTATAGCTCTATTATTTGATGAACTTTGCATTCACGATAAATTAAAGCATAAAAGTAATTATTTGAAAGCTGAATTACAGAAAGAAGTTCATTGTCCATAGCGGGTCGATATCTGCTTACGCCGTTAATGAGTCATCTACTCACAAATTGCCTATCCGTTTTGTACGTCATTGAAACGTCTTGAGATTTAGAGACAATACATTTTCCAGTGATTTAGGAAAGTGGCTGGAGTGCGGGGCGCGGGGGGTTTGTCCCTCGTGCCCCCCCTCCCCCCCGCGTCCCTTCGTCGTGCCCCTCTCCCTATCCTCGCCCGATGCGGGCTTTGTCTCAGTAATGAATCCGGCAAACACCAAACGTCACAGCGCAGCCGTCAACCACGCCGATACCATAAATCATATGGCATCTATTAGCCATCGCAACTTCAACCCTACCAACGTACTTACACAGCAGAAAATTCAACAACACCCCCTCGACAAACCCTCTGCCCGAGCCGAGAGCCTCCGAGAATTTGCTTAGGACGTGAGGTTTTAGAAAATATCCTGTTAAATGCAAATTATGGAGGTCGAGATAGAGATATAGCCGGGGGGTGCTTAAATTACTTAATTATTTAACAAATCCATTGGCATTGTGGGCATTCATAGATTAGTGGATTCGCCGTGAATCGGGGTTTCGGCTGGATTGCCGTGTCTCGTGTGCCGTGTCCCTAATATGTGTGTTATGCAACCCCAGCGGCGGCGATATGAAAAGCTCCGCAGAAAACAAACCACCTGACGCTCCCCGCCCGGCAGCCATTTGTAAAAATTGCCTTCGCCGCCATTTCTACGCGGGAATTTCATATTTGGAACGCCGCGGGGAGGAATTCGCGCGTAGATTTGACATTTCACCATCATGGCCGCCTTGTTTTATTGTTTATAAAACAATGCCTTACTGCGATGGCCGTTTCGAACGCGCATTGTTTAGCGGAAACCACCATTTTTAATTTGTAAATTAGGGTTGGTTATGGTTATTGCTCATGTAAGTACTCTACCTAAAACGAAATGGCGGAAACAGAGCCGCAAACAGAGCCGTCTTTGACCCATTGGAGACCTAGGGCATATTAGGATAATGTGGCCCCTATGGCCCCCGTTTGGTTATCTAACAGGAACTAGGGACTTTGTATTTATGATCTGAGGTGGGCACATATGGATTGCGGGGCCCTGGGCAGTTGCCCAAAGTGCCTACTGGGAAAAACGGGTCTACACGCAAACCTCGACCTCATTGTCTGGATAATGAAAGTAAAATAACTTACATTTATTGAAAGCACAGTACATGATTCAGTATTAAAAAATTATTTCTCAAACATGCTTGGAAATTTGAGTACCTATTATTTTGTCAACCTTCTTCGAGATAAATCGAAATTGCTGTACTGATCGAATACATGCGAGCAGCGGCCGGCATAAGTTGTATGAAAATCCATAACTGTCGTGTATTTAATAATTCTTTTACTGCGAAACATAGCAACCAAGAAGGTAACTTATCAAAGGTTTTGTATCGGCTTGTAAAATGGAAAGCTGTTTATGGAAAAAAAAACAAAGAAACACCTTAACGCGAGCAAAGTCTATTGTTGTTCGTCATTGATTTTGAAACCGCGCATTATTTGAGTAATATACTATACAAATCTTGGCCACAACAAGGCATTGGTGGCCTTACGTATGTGTGCGTCATACATAGTAGTAATGTTCATGTACATTACTAAATTGTAACATCATAATGATTTACTGAACACCGACCCAGTAATTCTTTTGTCGGTCCTTGTCAATGCTTACACAAGTGTCAATGTGACATAAGATAATCGCTTTTCCTCTTATGAAAGATATTTAGATTACGGAAGCAGTACAAATTACACAATCATATTCAGTACACCAGCTAATTTAAACCTATTTTAATGAAGATAGGAATTTATTTTGCGACAAAATCTTAATTTTAAAATTACACAACGACATACGTAACATGATATTCATAAAGTGTCCCAATTAACATACGCATATCCTGCCACTTTTGCGAACTATTAGCCGACGTTCTTCTTAAAATAAACTAACTAAGTGGTCCCTCCAATATGTGGCACATCAGGGCGGCAGGCGACAGCGCGGCGCGGACGTCTCGCCACAACATTCTCCATTACGCCACAACACTCCGCAACATGACTTTTTTCCGTCCACAAATCAAGACGAGTGGCAACTGTTTGACACTTAGCTTTTCACACGCCCAATGAGCGTCGTGCTGCTCATTAATAAGGTTCAAATTAAGTCCACATCTATCGAGTAGGTGTCGGGTGTCGCCGCGGTGTTTTCGTAAAGTGGCGACAACTTGTAACAACACACGAACACGGCAGGCGCAGTGTATTAAGCGCGCAGTATCAGGTTCCGACGGTTTCACGCGTGAGTGAAGTGCCAGATTGAGTATCGAATCACTTGTTAAATACTGTCATTAGGCGGCGAAAAATTCATTAACAATCATGTAGATACTGACAGCAGCGGAAGATGTTAAGTTAGATTTGGTGTAAACTAAGGAATATTAACATTGCATCCATCAAGCTGCAATGTTGGGGAGCTCGATGGTGTAGGTGGTTAGCGCGTTCGACTGCGATCGTTGAAGTTAAGCAACTTTCGCAGTGGTCGGTCATTGGATGGGTGACCAAAAATCTTCTATCTCGAGTTCCTCCGTGCTTCGGAAGGCACGTTAAACCGGCTGCATCTGCAGTCGCTAGCACCCGCCAATCCGCACTGGGCTCGCGTGGTGGGTCATGGCCCAATCTCCTTATTACATCCATAGGGATGGCCTGTGCCCCAGCAGTGGGACATTAAGAGCTACATGATGATCCATCAAGCTGATAATCAAGTCGATCATAGATTAACGTTACAATTAACGTTGTCAATTATTATCAAAACTAGTTTTCGCTCTGAACTTCATCTGCTTGGCTTTTTGGCTCTCAGTAAACTTTAAGTGGTATGAAAATTCATCGTAGATGCCAATCTACAATGTTCCTATAAGCCAATATTATCATCGTAGTAAATCAGTATTAGAAAACAAACGTGTAGCAAAAAAACGGGTGCGTCTACTTATGTAGGCGCGTGAGAAGTTATCCTTCTTTGGCATCGTTTAAAATTAGTTTTTAATTGCATGCAAATAATTAATTACAATAAATTAATAAAAAGTCTGGAAAAGGACACAGTCAATAAAGTTCAGTTTTAATTTGAAAAAATAAATAAAGAATCAAAATATTTATCGCTAAAGCGACCAACTTCATGCTGTTAAAATTTTGTGTTACAGTGATGCGCGCGCATCTTAAATTTCACTCTCATCATTTTTTCATAACGCGTCTAAAGAAGTATAACTTCAATAAATATTGTAGCTGTAACTGATTTTCACAATGCATATCGTCACGGGATTAAAGGATTTTAAAAGCAAGACTGTGATAAGATTGACGTACAAGCGAATTCGTGCTACACTTGAGTTACTTTTTTTCAATATTTCGTATAAACCAAACAATTGGTTTCTAATAGCTGCACTACTTGCCTTCTGAGTTTAGTCATACAAAACATATTTGCCTTTTTTCACTCGTGTCCAGCCTAATATAAGTACATTTTTATGTCTTCGGCCTTTTTTGATTGTAGTTAGCCATTCGATCTTTAGGTATATCGCTTTGCTCGCCTGTATGACGAACAAGGAATACTTACAAGATAATTTTCGACATGACAATTGGCAATCCTAAGCACACGCCCTACTGCATGTATAATGGTAGCCATACACACTACGAGAAATCGTTACGATCAGACTGTACAGTTCGAACGGAACAGTTTATCGTACGTGGCGTACGTATAGGAAACTGTGCAGTTTTATAACATACACGCTACGATTTATCGGAACCGTTCGGACTGTACAGTCTTATCGTAACGATTTCTCGTAGTGTGTATGTCTACCATTAGGCGCGTAAACGCAAGCACAGTGGCGACTAATTGATGGAGTCCGGTTACACTAACCAACAATTACACGGGTGACCACGCTTATGCCTTGATCACACGTACCGAGCAAATGAGCGAGACAGTACTCTCGGCCGAGTACTCTGTACGTATAAACATAGCGCCGAGTGCTCAGCCTAACTTCCATCACTATATCGGCCGAGAAAGATTTTACTGTCTCGCCCGTTTATTCGGAACGTGTGATCAAAGCATTAGATATTCATCGATATGTTTCCTCACAATTCAAGAATTTGAGGAGAAATTTCGATTTGCTTTAGCAATCACTCAGAAAATCGTCCCTGCATCCTGCTTAAATAAGTCTGTTATGATACCTAATTGAATTATGAACTAAGAGACATCGAATACTCGCAGTCTAAATAAAAAATGGGTGCGTGTACTTATGTAGGCGCGTGAGAAGTTATCCTTCTTTGGCATCGTTTAAAATTAGTTTTTAATTGCATGCAAATAATTAATTACAATAAATTAATAAAAAGTCTGGAAAAGGACACAGTCAATAAAGTTCAGTTTTAATTTGAAAAAATAAATAAATAATCAAAATATTCAATTAAAATCGCTACTGAATATAATTTATTAGAACATATGTGATTTGCACTTGTATGAAACTCAAACACGTATTCCGAATATACAAACTAGAAACATGTGGGAAGTTAACAGTAGAATTATTCTTCTTATTGTATGTTAATGTAGAATATTTTCAAATACTATTTTACTTTTTTTGTACTGGTCGTTCTACTGCAGCTAGTTTACAGAAAAAACGATAATATGCACAATTTCAAACGCCTGAATCTCTCAATAGTGTTGAATAAATTAGATCAAATTAATTACTACGACATCAAAAATATGTTTCTGTTGTAACATCTCGTAATGTTGTAGAATTTTGATTTTCTATCACATTAATTATCAAAAAAAAAAACATCTAACCTCCGTGAGTTTTCCCAAAAAATAATGCAGGTTTACCTCGTATTTTCATATTGAATTAAATAGAATTACTATTAAAAACATTCATAAAACTAATCTAACATCATTGAACTACTGAAATATGTATACTTTTATATAATTAATTCATTAATAATTATTTTATAAGACTCTAAACATCACCCGTAAAATGCAATATGTACTAGTGCAAATCTACCCACGCGCCGATTAGTACGGCAGCGGTGCAATTTTGTAAAAAGGCTCTTAAACAGATTGACTTTTGAATTTCTAATATGGATCATTTATATCAAAAATAAATAACAAAATTATGTCGCTCATCTGAAGCTCATCAAAGCAGAACCCTTCTCTATGCGAAAACAGTATCATGCTTTCTGCACCTTAAAGTAAAGAAAATTATAACTACATTCGCCCAGATTGTAAAAGGTATATACAATCTATTTTATATATTACTAGCAGACCCAGCGAACTTCATACCGTCATAAAAAAATAGGGGTTGGTGGTAGAAGGGTGAAAAATTATGGTTGTATGAATTTTTGTGTGAGCTATCATAAATAAATTAAA